GTTCAGAATGGTTTGATCCCTATCCAGCTGAATTCCTGAGAGGAGACGAAATCCAGGTCTCCTACTCCTCCACCATCTTGCCTCAGGGACATTTTTTAAAATCTTAAAAAAAACTCAAAAAATATTTAATCTTGGGGTGTAATGCACAGCATGATAGCTATATTTTTTTTAAAAAGGAAAGAACAGACCTCACATACCATACAAACACAATTCCACAATATTTAAACACAACAAAGCCTTTCTTTCCTGTACATAGTATTAAATAATATTTTCCCGATTATATAAGAATACACGTTCATTGTAGAAAAAATTTAAATTACTATATATATCTCCAAATAATAATAAGCAAAACCCACCTACAATCCTGGAACCTATTTTAAACACGTTAGAGCGTAAATTTCTTGCAGGTCTTCTACTCACCTGGAGCCAGTGGAAGTTGGATCACTGCTCAAGATGATCCGGGCGGTGGGATTCGGAGTCCTGTCCCCTGTGGACAGGTGTTTAGGAACGCAGTGAAACCAGAGCAAGGAAGGGAATTCAACAGGCCTCCATCGGTGCGACCAAATCCCACCTCCTGCAGCCTGCCTGCTGGGATTCCCATCCGCGGGGCCCTGCTTCGCCCTCCACCCGCCAGGATCGTTGAGCGCTAGTCCTGGGGCCCCGTCCGTGCTGCCCACCAGCGGCGTGTAAGCTCAGGATCAGCTGGTGCGCGACCTCCTCGCTCCATCCCCTTCTACCCAGGCTCTGCGGTCCGTCCTCGGGCTCCCGGCGGTCGGCGTGCAGAGGGTGCACGCCTCCGCAGGGCGCCCCCCGCCGCCACTCCCCTGCGCCCAGGGCCTTTGTCCAGGCGTCCAAGGCCTGCACCCTCAGTGAGGCCGCAGCCCTGAGGCCCCTCCTCTGAGAACCGCAGCAGAATCGAGGGGTGGGGGGCATGGGCTCCCCAGCACGCTGGTCCCTCTGGCACTCCTGGAGGGGCTGCCACCCCCGCGGGTTCCTAGAGCCTGCTGCGGCACCGGCCCTAGCTCCACACCCATGGCCCTGGTTCGGGGTCCAGTTTCGTGTGTGTTCAGGGCTGGAAATGTCCCAGCCCCGCTTTTGCAGATGAGAAAACAGAAGCAGCGAAATGAGACTTCCTGTTAGACGCTGGGGCATCTCCTGCTCTCTGCGCTGCTCTGCTGATGGCTGTCCTGATGGGAGCCCTGGTTTCCACTCAGCCCCACAAAAGGCGGAGGTTCCAACGCCTCCATCCGTACTGACCCCAGAGCTGGGTTCTTGCCTTTGCAGGCTGCAAAAACTTGTTCATGCTACTTAACCCTTTGGGGCTCAGATCCTTCCTGGTTTATTCATTGCTGAGGATCAAATAAAATCATCTGAATCGCTTCTCAGCCTTTTGGCTAAGATCAAATGCAAATAAAATTATCTGTTTAAAACACTGTAGTGCAAAGCAAGTGCTCAGTAAACATTTGTGAGTGGGTGAGACCAACTCTTTCCTAGAATTAAATCCTGGGGGGATTTTATGTTGTAGATCCTTACAAGAAGCACTGCACGACAGAATAGAAATGTCTTTTGGTACAGTCTCATGAGACACAGAAGCATTATTCAGGTGACTGTGCCTTTTACTAAAATTATATATTGAGTGACCCTTCAAAGGCAACTTGACAGCTAAGTGAAAGAATTCTGGGAGAGCTCTTAGAGCAGCAAGCGTGTTTATTCTACATGCACTGTGACTTTTGACATGGGTAAGTTCTTACTGTGGGATAGGTCTCCAGCAGATGGGAGCACTGGTGTTCATTTGTATGACTTACTACTGATTCGGCCTGACAGTTCTCCTCCAGAGAAAGGGCAGACAGACAGCTTGAAACCTCGTTGCTTAGAGACTACAGGCAGCCAATGTGCACAGTGCTGGGGGCAGGGAGGGGGACACCAGCCACCCAAACAGCAACCCCCTCTAGTCCTCTTTCCTCTTCTCAAGCCACTCATCGTTTCTTCAGTCCCAGCCTCTCCCCAAGGCCAAGCTGCTGGCTTGGGCACAATGGGGAAAGTGGACCAGCAACTAAAGGGAAATAACGAATCCCATCAGTTAAGCTCTGATCGCATCAACATAGGTCACGGAGGAAGTCCTTGTGGCTGTCCCCAAAACACAGCACAGGTCTTCTCCTCATTGAACCTCACACATCAGTAGGCTCGAGTGTCACTGAGCACGGTGATCACGTTTCTAGCACAGAAACCTTGGCCACCTCTTCTCTAATACTTGCAGTCGAACAAAAAATCATCCGGTACTTACAGCTCAGGGAGTTGTCTTAGACTCCACCACTGTGAACAGAACCTGTCTAATCATCTCTGGCCCCTGGTCGCAATTTAAAGTGTTCAGAGAAACTGTGTTGTCCATTTGAACGCGCGTGTGACCACAGATCCTGTGATTGCGGACTGCGATAGAAGAAGCCACACGGGTGGGCAATGGGGCTGGTTTCTCAGTGGTCTGAGTTAACCACTCTCCCAGCTTCTGTGCTGGCTTCCAGAGTGCTTGCAACATGTTTGGGATAGAACTCGCCGAGGAGGGTCTCAGAGCCCTGCTCCCCGTGGCGCTCCACAGGCTGTCACCCTGTCCTCTCACTAACAGAGCCATGGAACAGAGAAGAGACAGGCCCCATGTCTCCTCCTGTGCCTGCAGGAGAGCCGCATTCTGCCCAAAGTGAGGACCCGAGTGCCCAGCAGGTGTGAGGCTGGATGGGACAACACCTCCCAGAGCAGTGGCCTTGGCTAAGTGGCCGGTGCTGGCCCTGCCAACGTGACCACAGAGCTGCCTGAATGGCAGTTTCTGATCTCCGGAAACATTTGACACGTGAACACACACACATACGGGAGTCCAGAACATGGGGTTTCAAACTGGGCCTTTTATTTTTGGATTGTCACTCAAGGTCACTTTGCACTGTAGGCACACTGTGAAGAGTCAGGAGAAGTGGGTCAGTAGGAGAGAGGAGGAGGACTCCGTACGGGGCCGACCATGACCTTATGGGGAGGAGAAGCGGCCACAGAACAGGATGCTGTTGGTCTTGCTGTGCTGGATGAAGAAAAGGAAGGGGTGGTCGGCACAGAACCGGGGCATGATTCTCGCACACCGCAACATCATGATGGCCGCAGTGGCGGCCGCGGCCTCCGTGCCTTCCTCGTTGACCTCCACGAAGGCCTTGTGCACCACCTTGGACAGATACAGGTCTTTCCTGGACGACATTCCAGAAAAGTCTGCCTTGGCCTGCTCGAAGGCATCGGTCATGCCCAGAGTGCAAAGGACATTCTCCATGTCGTAATTCTCCTCCAGTTTAAATCTAGGGAGGTACACTTCCGCCTCTTCTTCATCCAGCATGTCTGGCCTCGTCCACTCTGTGAATTTCTCATAAGTGAGTTCTTTCTCCACCTAGAAGAAGAGAGTTGAAGATTTTCAGATCTAGAACAGTGCTGCCCAACAGAACCATCTGCAGGGCTGTGAGTGCTCTGGGCGGTGCAGGACGAGGGGGCAGAACGGCAAGGGGACGTCATGCGAGCTTTGGAGCAGGCCTGTGGGCCCTGCCGGCAGGCGCCATTGCCCCTCAGCGCTCCTTACCGTCCTCAAATCCGTGTTTTCATCTGGAAGCATGATGATCATGTTCAGCTCTTTGCCCACATAGGGCAGCACCAGAATTTTGGTGAATATTTCTCCTATATAGGTCATTTGAAAGGTAGATTTTTTAAACATCATCTGCACAGGCTTCTCCTCATTCTATCAAGGAAACAGATAAACGTTAAGTTGAAACCAGACCCACTGGACACACTGGACAAATCGACAGACCTGGCCAGTGTGGCTTCTACAAGCACTTCCTTGGCTGGCTTCTGGAATACCGCACCGGCCCCCTCTCCTGCCGGCCCATCTCTGTTGCCTCAACCTCTAAACACTGGGGTACTCAGGGCTCAGTCCTTACACTGCTGGTCTCTCAGTGATCTCAATCTTGTGACTTTAAACAGAATTCCCAAACGTATACTTCTAGCTAGGACTTCTCCCCTGTCCTCCAGATAGGTTACACTCCCCCGTATCCTACTGCTTACTTGGCCCCTGCATTTGGACAGTAAAGGAACCTACAATGTCGCATGTCACACTGGTCTCCTCACAGTCCCTTTCAGGTCCGCTCCATCTACCATGTTCCCCAGCTCAGATGACAGCAATGCCATTCACCCCATTGTCAAACACTCTGGAGTATCCCTGACTCCTGTCTTTTACCCCACAGTAGACTCATTAGCAAGTCATATGGCTCTGCTTTTTAAAGTATTAACATAAATGAGATCAAATTAGTCTTGGAACATCTTTCTGTGGCTCCCCCTCTATTCCAAGGGAGTAAAAAAGCAGAAGTCCTTAAAGACACCTGTGATGTGACAAAAGCTTGTCCCCCATGCTCTCTGCTTCCATCTCCCTTTGCCTGTCTGCTGCAGTCACAGGGGCCCCTGGATGCTTCCGAGGGCAAACTCAGCCCGCCCGACCCCAGAACCTGGATGGCGCGTGCCCTTTCGTTGTTCTGGTCTTTGCTCAGTGAGGCCTGTAACCTGAAACCGTACTCCCAGCCACAGGCTGGATCCTTCCTCTGTGTCTGTCTCTGGATCACTACCACTGTCTCATACACTCCCGTTTTCCCAGGTACGCTCACGGTCTCCCCTCAGGAAAACGGCAGCTTCATGAGAGGGATGCGTCACGGGTTTTGCACACACTGTGATGGTACCGGGCACCACGCCTGGCCCTCAAGCAGCATCTGCTGAATAAATGGATCGACAACTAAAGGACCGGAAGACTGAAACGACCAGGCAAAATGAACACATCCTACTAGGAGAAGAATGCATTTGTCACCAATGCATCCCCAGCTAGGCGGTAAGAAAGACCCAGGGACGGTGACCACATCCTAGCCAGCAGCCCTCCTCGGCTCCTGACTGGCATGCAAGCCCCATGCTGCAGTCCCCGGTTCTCTGGGGAAGCACATTACTCTGCGTCACACGGAAGAAACTTCTGTTTCAGCTTTTCACCTGTGCCTTGCCGAGGCATGCCCAAACTGGCCTCAGCCATGCCTGCCCCCTCGTTCCTCAGCACCCCATTCACCTCCTGGGCCAGGAGTCATCAGCACCCTTTTCCTCTAACAGGCCAGACAGTATATATTTTCAGCGTTATGGATCACACAGTTTCTGTCCTAACTACTCAACTCTATAGTTGTAGCATGAAATACAGAAATAAGCATGGCTGTGTTGCATTAAAACATTATATGTTAAAAATGTAGCCTGGTGATGGTTATTAAAGAGGGCACGTTCTGCATGGAGCACTGGGTGTTATACGCAAACAATGAATCATAGAACACTACATCAAAAATAAATTAATTAAAAAAAACTTTATTAAAAAAAAAGTGGTGGGCTGGCTTTGGCCTCAGGCTGCAGCTCGCTGACCCTTGCCTGAGGCAATTTCTCCTTCTACCCCTCCAGGGCCCAAAGCCCTCAGGCTTATAATATAAAAGGGTCCAATCTCAGTAACTGAATGATTCATCAAGTATACAATTACAGAGATAAGTTTCATTTTACTTAGAAATAAAGGAATTTTAAAAATCTATAGGAACTCAAAATCTGTTTACTTTCAGGCACAATCCTCCAAACCCAATAGGCTGGTGCACTCAAAACCTAGTGCGCTCCCAAGATGTCCATCGACAGATGAATGGATAAAGAAGATGTGGTATATATATACAATGGAATATTATGCAGCCATCAAAAGGAATGAG